TTTCATTGAAATGCGATGATTAGTACTTGAGATACCCGTGGAAAAGCTGAAAATTAACTAATTATGCAAATTAGGGGATTAATATGCACAAATATTTATCCGAAACAATCAATCTCTGCATAGTCCTTGAGTATGTAAGTACCAAGTTTCATTGAAATGTAATGCTCACTACTTATATCAAAAGCTGAAAATTAATTAATTATGCAAATTAGGTAATTATATGTATTGATATTACCATAAAAACTATCAGGTCTGTGCAGTGTCATATGACATCTATGTACTAAGTTTCATTGAAATGTGATGATTAGTACTTGAGATATCAGTGGAAAAACTGAAAATTTACTAATCATTATGCAAATTAGGTAATTAGTATCCACGGATTATTACCAAAAACTAATCAAATCTGCGCATATGTTCAGAGCATCTATGTACCAAGTTTCATCAAAATCCAATGAGTGGTTCTTTAGATATCAGTGGAACAGTCATAGAACAGCTAAAAATTAGCTAATTATCATGCAAATTAGGTAATTAACGAGCATGGATTTTTACCAAAACCTAATCAAATCTGCGCATTGGCCCAGAGCATCTATGCACCAAGTTTCATCAAAAACCGATGTATGGTTCTTGAGATAGCAGTGGAACAGTCGGACACACATACACACACACACACATACAGACACACTAACTGCAAAGACTCCCATTTTGTGCTTCGCACATGGGAGTCAACAAATAAAATTCTAATATATCAAGAATCTCAGTTAGTCACCAATAATTACAGTCAATAAAATATAAGAGATTATGAGGGAGTAATTAACAACTCACTTGTATTTGGTCCCCGTTCTGACGTGGACTTCATTTTTACACCTGTACAGAGTTGGATCTCTCATGCAGCCATTGTCAGAGCTCATATCTAACATGGCACGCACTACACACTTCTGTCCATACTCGCTGCCCTTCACCATCTCTTTCCACATCTCAAGGTTCTTCTCAACAGCTTAGACAACAGAATAACCAACACAAAATATGAGAATGTATAAATAAGATATTACGCATCAATTTCATGCTATAACTCCCATAAGTTCTGCATTGTAAGCATGCAAACAAAACATTCTCGCACTCTATTGTAACTTACAATTAGACCTGTTCTTAGATGCCTGACGTTGTTCTCTTTCTAATTTCATCGTTTCGGGATCAGTGTCATCGACATACGCTGTACCCTCGTTAATCATCTGTTCGGCGTACTTCAGTAACGTATCAAAGTGATCTGATGTGTGAGTGAACCTGTCAGGTTTCAGTCCCAGCATCTTGATGTCACCAAGAATAACCTAAAATGGGACAAAAAGTAGGTAAAGAAAATAATCTACCCAGTAATAAATATTTGAATGATCGGCCTAGTAGTTTTAGAGAAAATGCTTTCATGATATGCTTGTTTATGTTTGGCATGTATGTGCAGTGATTGTTGGTAAGAACAATTAAGTCATTTGTACAGGAATATACAATTCAAGCATTGTTTTTTGCTGCTGTGTTCCACTACGTGTACGTGTCTCTGTTAATAAAACACCATATGGGTAAAATAGGCACAGCACATCTTGATTGCTGTTTCCTTGAATGACATTGTTTGTCAGACTGTGAATGAAAAAATCACATCTCTTCTCTCAAGAAGGATTTAAACATGCTACCAGTAAATATCAAAGCAAAATCAGTCAAGCATGGTCGGTTACAGCAATGAGTTACAGTGTGCAGTTGAATGGTTGCGGGTTAAGACACCGTTGTCCATGCATGGCACATTGATGGTGTAAAGTTTATGTGCTGTCAATGTCCACCACTTCAACTAACCTGTTCAAACTCTGAGCTTTCCTTCGCAGGATTGGTGTCATCAAACCTCATGATGAGAATACCTTTGAAGTTCACCTGGTAGTACTGATTCAATAACGCAGCCTTGGCATGACCAATGTGAAGATATCTAGAAACAAACAATAATCAAATCATGCTCTGGTTTTCATTACAAGCTAACGTTTTTTAAACACATTCAAATATAGCATGTACTGTAAAATACTTTATTTTAGCTAGAATTAATTTTCGCTGAAAAGACTTTTTGGGTGTTTTGTATGGAATTTATTTTCACTGATTTCTGATGAGTTAAATGTAAAATATAGGAAAACAAGGTATATTCGCTGGATTTTATTTTCACTGAATTTTTCATTCAGCGAAAATAGTGAAAAATAATTCCAAGCGAAAATAAAGTATTCTACAATATATTGTTTTATGGCAATAATTTATTTCATATTGTCCATCTACAATACAATAAATTATAATTTCTCAGTGGGAGCTAGACTAATGCATCCAAATATAAACTTATAAATCTATGTTATTTATTAATGCAAAACTTTATCAAAGATAATTCTTTTTGAAGACAGTGTTTTACACACACACATCACAAAGTATATGTTAGTAGTCATCATCATAATTATAATGCAAACTTACCCACTAGCTTCCGGTGGGAATCGAACAACCACTTTGCCTTCCTCAGCACCTGGGAGTTCAACAAACTTACCGGCATCTTCTTTCTTACCCTACCGGAATAAAACATAAACTTTGAAATACTTTATTTTAGAGGGAATTAATTTTTGCAGAAAGGCTTTGTGGGTGTTTTGTATCAGAAATTTTGTATGTATAACGCAAGTGTATATAAATGTATACACATTCAAACAGCATTAGATCCAAGAATACTAAAACAACTTAAACCAACATATCATACTACCGAGTACAAATGTATCAATATTTGGATGATTGCTATGGCATATTAAAGTGTTATGCGGTATACTATGGCTTCCTTGGGGTCAAAATTACTATCAGACAGGTCACAATTGAAGACTGTTGCCACATGTGATCCCTGGTCAATCAGAATTTTATGGTTGCCAGAAGATCTGCTTCTCAGGGTAAGGGGGCGCATGGCCATGGCATGAGGGCACTGCGGCCCTATTTTCTTGTTTAAAAAAATCCCTGGTAATCGATTTATACAAAACATGACTGCGTCTACTTACACTATTGGTAGATGAAGTTTTACCACTGGAGGCGGTTGTTAATTTTGGTGATGAATTCTCAACAGACTTGAACAGCTCTTGACTACAGAGAAACTTGTACCATCTTGTTACATGAGCGGGACCCTCTTTCTTTTGTACAGCTGCCAACCATTCACCATTAGCTGTATAATAATATTAATGTATGTTAAATGTAACTTAAATCCTCATGACAAAAAATATTTTTATTTTATTTTTTATTTTCAAATGACATGACTAAGTCATAGTGTTACAGGTACATCAATAATATTCATAAAGATGTCTGATTTGGACGAACAAGCGAGTAAAAAAAGAAAACTTAAATTGTGACAAACATATTGTGGTGTTGAAATAATTACTTAAGAACTGTGTTACAATGAACTTCCCTGAGATTCAGAGCAAAAGTTACAGCAAAGTAAAGCAGTTTGAGTTTAAAATGTTTTTTTATCATCTGCAAACTGCCTTTTGATCTGTTTCACACACTTTACATCTTTCGATGATTACACAAGTTCTATTTTTATTAAGATTTCGGAATGGAGACAAACACTATTATGTATGTGCACTGGACAAAAGCAATATCTCCAAGATCCCCCACCCCCACCCCAACTTATTAGACCAATTTGTAACAAATTGTACTTCATCCAACATTGATCAATTTTACTTTTTTTTAATGATATTTGACTACCAAATGTGCAAAATTTTTCATTTGATGAAATTTTATCAATCAACTCAGTGATGTAACTAAGTATAGCGATTCAAATGAGGATAAACAAAAACACTGAATTTGTTCAGAATGAAACACATGCATAAATAAATTGTGATATGACTAAACATTTACTCAGTTGAAAAACCACAGAACATTGTATTTAAACCATGCTGCACATTTTTGGACTATAAAATGTCAAAGGTCGCACATTGGTATATAAAAAAATTCTCTATTCTCTATTATTTACAGTTTTGTACAATGAGGGACATTCTGTATAAAAATGTAAAATTGAATAAAATGAATATGGCATAGTTTACTTACACCTTAGTACACCCCACACAGCAAAGTCAGCTAAAGACAGTGATTCGCCGACTAAGTACGTTCTGAGACTTAAAACTTTATTCAGGTATTGGATGGCATCACTGTACTCTGCTGGGCATCCAAGACGACCAACGCTGAAGTCAAACCAATGATCCACCTGTACAAGTTGAATAGGCAGAGAATAGGTTATCATGAGAGATGACAAGAAAAAAAGGCAATACAGCAAAAAATTATGTATAAATTCAACAAAAAAATTTAGTTTAAACTTGGGATGAAATCAGACTTACCTCTGTAGCTTGCAAACTGTTACAGCCATAGAGTTTCAACGATGTTGCACGGCGTGCCAAATAGCGACAGATGGATGCAGTAGTATTGAATGTGAAGTCACTGAAAAATAAAATATAAAAAAAAAAAATATAAAAAATATCAACTCATTCACATACATGTAGAACCGTTTATGATTCACATAAATATGTGTGCATCAAAACACCAATAATTGCATGATGATTGCAAATTGATGTTAACATTCATCAAAATGATGCATCTTTGTCTCTGTACTTTTCTGTGCACATTAAGCATGGATGGTTCTTTCAAGTTACTTGAGATGTTCTATTTATGTCTGTAATACTTACTCATTCAGTCTAACCATCGTAGTCTGCCCCCATTCCACTGCGACATTAACGGTTTCTTTCACAGCCTCAGCAGTTAACAGTGCAGCTGTGAAGTAACATAAATTTTATTTAATATGTCTTGGGTTTAAACATTTTTGTTTGTTTTCAAGTCAAGTACATGTAATGAAACAGTTGAGGTGATCAAACACTAACCAGTTCTTTTGATATACCATTTCTGGAAATGTAGGTTTTTTTTTGTAATTTTCTGATCACCTCACTATTCACTTTATCTACAATTGCATATGCATATTTTATTGGTAAAATTTATCTTTACAAAATACCTCAAACTATAACTAAACCAAACACATAATTTGGTTTTATCTTTCTTTTTTTTTTTTTTTTCAATGACAATTTTGTTTGTATGTAAATGTGTATAGTATCACGTTAAGATTTCAGCAGGATATACAGTTAGGTACAGGAAGATAACCTGAATTTATGTTCAAATCTCAAATAGTTGATAACTTAATATAAATTAGCGGCTTGGTAATGCACCAGTCATTTAACCGATCCTACTAATTAACGCATGGACATTCATTGGACTGTCCGGGCACGCTCGGGGGCGAATAGGGCGAAATACCTAACGCGCAGGGTAGCAGCAGCAATCCTTGTACTGTATAATGTTCGTTTATGCTCAATAAGGCCAGACTTTTATTATTCCTTGTTTTGCAAACCCGAACAGGAGCCAAAAATGAAATAAAAATAAAATTTTATTTCAGCGTAATTTCTCGCACTCGCCGACTTGTAAGTGCAAAAAATTGCTAAAAAAAACTATTTTTATCTTCATTTTTTTTCATGGAATAAAATTTTATTTCATTTCTTCTCTCCAATCAATGATCTCACTTACAATTCTTTTAGAAACACACAAATCTAATGGGGGAAAAAGAATTAATTTTATTTTTTTTTCCGCCCTGCTCAAAAAAATTGCCTCATTATAAAAACTCGAGAAACAAGGAATAAAAAAAGTCTGGCCTAATTGAAACAGAGTGGCGACTTCTAGCAGCTATCCACACTTTAATATAACTCAATTTCAACAAGCATGCCGTCGATTTCTTTTAATGACCAATCGCGATAATATAGTATGTTGATTATTAAACCATAGACAATATAGTAGTACTACACTGTCTGTGATCATGGAGGTAATTATCTACATGCTGTGCTACACACTGCCCCGATTCAATTTTAAGGAATGTCTCTGAATGTCAATGATGATGAATCACTGGATGAATTACTTACCCAAAGGCGGATTTGACGAACTTGCACACACCCTGATAGTCATTGCGCTTTTTCTTACGACCAGACTGAGATGTATTTTTTTGGTAAAACGATATAAGACTGAAAAAGTCTTCGAATATTGTGCAACTTGGCTGGTGCAACGCGTGTGAAATTAAACCGGAAGTAAATGGCCGGGCAATACGATTTATGTGTTTTCCGCTTCTCAACTCTAGTGAAGGGCCCCCTCAGGAGATATCGCCGAGAAAGGATCACCCCCACCCCTCCCAGGAAGTGTGGAATGACTATACGTACCGGTAACAATATATTCCAATCAAGCCCCCCACCGCCGAGACATATGCATTTGGGGTGAGGATTTGAAATCGGGACAAGGTTTTTGGAAGGGAATTTCACTTACAAAAATATATTTATTTTTTTAATTTTAGCATTGCTAATACAGAGTGAAACGGTTTTTTTTCAAGAGAAATTTGAAAATGTATTCTACTCTTCTTTCAATGTTTGAAATAAATCACCTGAATACATTTCCACTAGCAAAACAAATAGCATAAACAAACATAGTTATTGTTCAAAATGGCTTTATTTCACATCAACATCATGTTTAGCCGGGAATATGATTCTGTTTTTTGTCAGGGGCAATTGTAATTTTGCTTGAGAGGTACAAATGTATTTATTTGACAAATCAGCGATAACATAGTTTTTTTTGTGGATAGTACTGACCTAATACGCAATACCAATTTGAAAGTCTTTGAAGCCATTTTCCCGATTGTACTATTTGTAGTCAATAATCCATCAGTTGCTTGCATAAACTACACTCCTCTCCCAGTGTTATACCGGTACACTTGAAAAATATTAAAATCAGGCATTGGTCGTAACGCAGCATGTGCTCGAATTTCATGTAAACAAACAATGTATATTACGTGCATTGTATACGTCACTGCGAGTCAGTTATCGAACACTACGTGACGCAACAACCACTGCCCTTTAACTTCTAAATTTTTGTAAAAACCATTCTTGCTAGAAGATCAATTCAGTACCAGTCTCCCATATAATTTTTGGAAAATACTTGATATCCAGAGTTTGATTACTTGTGGCACGTATTTGAAGCACAAATATATCATTCTGTTTTACTAAATATTTAAATGTGATGTCTTGTGGTCACAAGATAATTCCATTATTTGAGCTATGTGGAGTCTTTCATTTTTGGCGTTACTACATTTTTACTACATTGATGGGAATCTAAATGAGCCTCATATGATAAAATTGTCAGAAAAATCTTCCTGGTAGATAATGAATCATTCCAGTTGCATCTACTGGTGTACTTTTTGTTAGCATTCTCTAGTACTACTAAACAATGCCCATCTATTAGGAAAGAACTGCTTCTTTGTTGAAAACTCCACATTTACTCGTAAATCAATTGTTCTGGATGATTTAGTTTTTGCAAGTTTTAAGAGTACAACTTTCCCCCTCACTATTTGAAAATACGACTTTTTTTTTTAGCAGCAACAACTCTGGATTTAAACAATTTCCAGATCGACAAGCTGCTGGAATGCATGGCTACTCAACTGAACGAGTTAAAAGAACTTGAAATCAATAAGTAATATTTGGTAGTCCATCTAGTTTTTAAGGTACTCAAGACCCTGCAGAAAAGTTTTGTACATGTAGTTTCGCTTAGTTTGTGTACTCTTGTTTTGAAAACTAATTTTTTGTAAATTTTTAGTAGTTTAGGTGAGCTACTAATTTTGAACAATGGTAGTCACAATTCAAGAACAAAATTTGGCAGTCTGTACACCTGTACTGTACTGTTAATTTTGAGATCTGGCCAAGTAGGTGATTAGTACTGCAATGCAGTTTACTTTGATGCAAGAATGCATCAGGTGCATTAGTAAACCTCAACAAATTTGTGGTATAACAACCAACAGGTTATTTAAACACTTACCAAATCAATACGTTTTAAGCGGTAAGCATCCTCACAGATGCTGGTTAACGCTTAGTGTAAAAACACCATAGTCACTACAAATCCCATAAACTTATAAATTACAGAACACACAAGTATATGGTAATAATAAAATGAGACACTTTATTATAAGAAAACAGGCTCCATCTCAAAACATACAGGCCATAAATATAATTTATTTGGCCATGTAGGATAGTTTTGTGGGAACTGCATACTGTAGAATATGTTTCTATCGAAGACAGTCCGGTTCTTCAAATACCATTTCACCATAATTGCAGTATATTTGATATGAAGTCCATCTTCCATTACCATACTGTGTTATAATTAGTCAAGCTGTTGAAGACAGAACAAATTAAAATTATTTGATGAATGACGGCAATGTGATAATTTACACATGGCTACTGTATTTCGCTATTAGGAACATACATTTTTAATGAAAATACCACTGTTTGATCATGGACAGTCTTTGATGTACGAGTATGCGCTACCAACAGAGCAAATACGGTAGAGTGGTTTGACACCAAATCAATGTTATATACAGTTATACATTAAGTGCAAGGAATGGCAATTTTGGCTCAACTAATCCATTAATGTTGTATACGGCGTAGTATTAAATGACATCCATCAAAGATGTACAGGGGGAGTGTTAAAACTCACTACCCCAAGTTTTGTGAATCTTTGTAAGAACTGGTAGAACTTGAAATGTTTTGAATGGTTGTCTGATGGTCTATCTAATGTTTGTTATAAAATCCATCATTCAACAAGTAATTTTAATTCTGACAATCACTGGCCAAGTTGAAAGCGAGTCAAACCATAGATAATACAAATTGTGTGTCAAATTTGATTCAATCAGGACCACCATAATGTTTTGGGACAAAAACATTGTGTACTGCAGACTAGTACATGCATGTTGTTCTAGTAAGTAGAGAACGCTTAGGCTGAGTTGAAATTGCCACTCAGAACTACATGCAAGTCAACTCTTTCTCGTAAGCTGGAGAAACTAATATGGACATAGCGACTGAATTTCCAAACTCAAAAAAAACAACTTAAAATAGCATTTGTATGCAGTATCAATTTACAGCAATTTTGTATAAAAAAAATTGGCAGAGTTTTTCATTGTTTGTCTAAATCCAAATAGTCGAGTAATGCAATATTTTGAGAGTTCATTCCTAGAAGCAGGTGTTAATATAAATGATATGCCTTCAAATGATGGCACCACCACACCCATTTTTATACAGAAATTTAGGGGGGGGGGGGTCCTTCACCTGCAAGCTTTTATGTTTTCTGTATGAGTTATTGTCACTGAGGACTCAGTTCCCAAGTGTGACAACCCCTCTGCTTTAAGGCAATACTACAGAGCAGCTGCTTACCTTCTTGAAACCAATATCATCCGCATATTGCCTAAAACACTGTCTGCAGATATTTAATCCATATTTTCTTATAAGACCATGTCTGTTTCCACACACACGACTGAAATATTATATAAAACAAAAAGTCTCTTTATACATGTATCTATATATAAAAACTAAATTGTTTTCAACAAAATGTGAGCAGATGTCACTGACCCTTGGGCTAGCCCTGCGTACAGTGCTGTGTGTACGGGGACGCGTTCGGTTGGTAGATGTCCCCACCACAGCCCTGCGTACTTCCATAGACAAAGTCCGGGAGCGCACCGTAATTGGTGCGCAAGTTAAAAATAAGTAGTTTCCCAGCCAAAATCGGTTGAAATGACGACAGTTATCCGTAACAACCATTATAAAGTTATCTGAAACTGAAATGTCTTTAAACAAACGACTAGTAAAGACGGACAAATTGTAAACGCGTAATACCAAGAGGAATTATCCACCAAACGCCGCCATTTTTAATTTCATTCACGCGAGAGAATGAGTTTGTTTTTAGGGCAAAGTAGCCGATTTCCATCCACAATTGGACTCCGAACTGGGAGTTCTGGATATATCTGGTAATCGATCATCATTTTTGGTACCTGGGCATATTATTTCATTAAAAAAGTTATATTTTTCAAAGTCCCGGACTTTGTCTATGGAAGTTTGCAGGGCTGTGGTGGGGACATCTATCAACCGAATGCGTCCCCGTACACACAGCACTGTACGCATGGCTAACCCCTGGGCCTGCTCCCTAGAGAATCTTCTGCTCAACTGTAGTGCAGTGCAGCTAAGAATTTCCCTATGATATTACCAGGGGTAGTTTACTACACACCCCTGTTCATCATCAGTGCATATTGCAATACATTTATCTGCATTTTTGCCTCCCATAGGTCAAAAGTAAGTCGCCTATTTATTTCACCTCCACATTTTAATGGAGTTGCACAAAATATTGAATACAAGCCCCAAAACGTTACATTTTCTGAAGCAATTTAAATAGTATTCGTTCTCCGAAACGTGTGCACTCACGGTCGAAATGAAAGTCTTTGACATGCTTCCAATATCCGTGCAAATATAGGTCGTTTTACACCATCGGCGTCCAACACATTAGTATTGCATTGTACGAAGAAATAACAAGCGGAAAACTCAATTAAGTGCAATGCCAATATGTATATCGCAAAGAAACGGCCTACCTAAGTACAGGTAGTACAATGAACATTGTCATTATATCTAAAGCAAAGCACGACTTGGCTTGTTGTGGCATGGCGCCGCCATGTTTTATTTTGATTCGACTTCCATACCCGACAGCCGAAACATTACCTGACATTTTCGTCGCTTTGAATTGTAAATATAGGTATAAAATAGCGCCAGTGGGAGCACTAATATATTAGGATTATTTCTGATATAAATTATTTCATACCAATATCTAGATCCTTGACCAAATTTCCTTGGATGTGAGTACCATAACGTTTGAAAACCCATGTTGGCGGCCGTGTGAGAAAAAGGACGAGCATGGGTTTACCTGAAACAGCAGTCACTCTTGTACCCACAATGCATTGCTTTGTCGGTCACAAAAAATCTTCATACACGGCGTGTCATAAAGAAAAAAGTAATTCATAATGAGTGAATGTATAGAATTTTATCACTTTCACAACTTGAATATTATGTGTTACAGACAAAAAATTAACTTGACCTCATGTACGCTTTTTTGTGCTTTCCTAATGCATCATGGTCAAGGATCATGTTTCACCCCGTTCCCGCCAGCTGAGTATGCTAGTTGTCGCAGTATTAAACAAGAGAACTGGTGATGGTTGTAGAACCATAACTGCCTCAGCTCTAAGATTGTTATGTAATACAGGGGAATGTAAAGGGACATGTATTGTAGTGTTACCTCTGTGTAATTTACAATATATCCGCATTAACCTTCACTATTAAGGACTAATATGGGAGTAGAAGCAAGGCTACGCAAATTTGCGAAATAGTAGTTAGTTAGAATTATCAGACATTGTGGGATACAAAGAAGTGGCATATTAACCCAACAAACATACTCGCACATATCCATACATATCTTATTGTGTGGGGGAAAGCTGTCATGTACACATTCATAATAACTGGAAATGGTTTCACAACAGAAAACAAGTGTTATTGCTGTAAATAATTATGAACAATAAAAACTGAAATTTAGAAAAACCATGAACAAAAAATAATGAAAGTCTGTGATTTTCTGCACAGTTTCCAGGAAATTATCAACCGAACCATAACATTTATAAAAAGCACAGTGCTGAGATTCACTTCGAGTATATCAGAATATAATCTTACAATTGCATACGAGTCGTCAAAACGTACAGTTT